TAGCCCTCCGCTGGACTCTCTCCAGCAGCTCCTCATCTTTCTCGAACTGGGGAGCCCAGAACTGCACAGAGTACTCCAGATATGGACTCACTAGGGCAGTGCACAGGGGTAGGAGAACCTCCCTCGACCTGCTGGCCTCACTCGTCTTAACGCACCAGGCTCTTCCTGGATCTGCTCCAGTGGAATTCAAACACCTAAGCTGAGGAACTACCACAGTTAAAAGTTGGTGTGGTTTTTGGGGTGTTTTTTTTTTTTTAAATATACATCCACCCAGATGGGATAAGCATATCTTTGTCATGTATAATCACACAGTGAGACAACTGGAGCAAGGAATTTTGACATTTAAGCCAAGTGAAAGGAGTGTCAAGAATGCTGCTACCTGTCTGATCTCTGCTAGATTTTCAGCACTTTAAATTACCTCAGAAATTCACATGACTCATTCAGTTGAAATCTTCAGGAAATATTTCTTTTTTTTCAATCATTAATATATAACTCTCTAGGAAATGAGGTCATCTACAAAATGTACTCCGAATCCTCCCTGTCACGCTCAGGAGTTGCAACTGTCTTCTCCTGCTCCTAAAGGCTGAAGAAGTGGTTTGATATTAAAAAAAACAGGCAGGTAAAACAAACAAGGATTTATACATTTAACTGAACGCATTTAAGTTGGACTGCATGGACACCCCTACTGGAAAGTTTAATCACTGCTCGTACAGCTCTAACTCTGTGCGTACGACGAGGCGCAGCCAGAGATGCCGCACCGCACGGCCCAGGCGTCCATCGCCCCGCCAGGGCCTGTAACACAGAGGAGGAAGGAATGTAATCGGTCAGACCAGCATTTGCCTATGGTGACTAATCCACAGGCAGATACAGTTATCGTACGGGGCGTAGTCTGCAAAAATAATAAGCACTGATGGATGAAATCATCAGCTTGATATTTTAAGCACAAAGCCCAAGTTTACTGGAATTTCTATGCTAGAGGTACAGGGAAAATGTGCTGTTGGTCTCCGGCGCAACCCACTCGTGACTGGGTTTTTTTGACCCAAAATTAACAGCTGGTGTAGTATTCCATCACAAAGACGCAGAGATATGCAGCGCAAATGCTTTCAACGTTCTTTCTAAACATGGTTCAAACTTGGAATACAGACCATCACACTCTTAATTTTACAATGGTTTTAAATCTTGAAGAATCCTAATAGGACAATGTTAAGTCTTACCAAGGGCTTAGTTATCCCACCCTTACTTAGTTAAGTAGGAACACATTCTAACTGGTCCCACAGAGCTACTTTAATATGTATTATGTGAAATCCATCCCAGGCGGTTATGAAGGACTCTCACTCCTCAGCCGAGCTTTAAGACATCTCTACTGGTTTGTGGCTAACACCGAAACACGTGTCAGAGCTGTTCTCACTACACTGTAGATTACACGACATGGACCCTGAACCCACAGACACTCACACACTGCTATAGTCTTTAGAAAAAAATCAAAATAATGCGCTACTGTAAGCAAGGGCAGCAATATCCAAGGATGAGATTGTCAGCTAAGGAGTAAACAAGTTTATTGGTTACATTCTATTTTCTCTCTAGTATTTTCTAACACATCCTATTTAATTTTTGGTTTTATGTATATACTACAATACTCCTTCGAAAATGTCTTACTGTACTTTAAAGCTGTTGTTTTGTAATTCACAAAAAATGTGTAGAAGTTTACATGAAATCCTACAATCAACACTGAAAATTCTACTCAGAGTTTACGGTAAAGCTTTAATACAAAGAACAAATTGTGATGCTTGGAACTTAAGGAATTACCTTTGTTTGGTCTCCCAGCTCTCCACGCGTTTGACTTTCTGACTGGGCTCCTGTTTTTTCCCAGCCTATTTTGTTCCCACTGACATGGCTGAAGGACAACATAAAGAAAACCACAGTATTAAAGCGCTGTTTAAGGTACAATGGGATAAATCCTTGGTGACTGTTATTGGAACCACGGGCCAGAGACTGTGATTTTAAGGGATGCTATGCATTAGAAATATCAATTTGCAAGAGTCTTGAAGAGACTTTAATAGTGACATGTACTGATTTACATTACATCAACATTCATATTGTATTTAAAAGGTGTGTATTACAATAACTAATAATAATGTTCATGCAGGAAAAATTCTTGATTGAATTTTAAATATCTGTCACTAAGCCAAGTGATTTCTCTCAATTAGAAGACAATTTCTACAAACTGTGATACAAATGACGCTGCCTAAATTTCAGTTTCTAAACTTATTCAAAATTTATTGCAGAAAACCCACAAGGCAACACTATCAAAAATGCTGAAATGTATTGGTTTTTTTTTAAGCAGGTACGTTTCCAGTTCTACACTGCATGGAAGACACCCAAACTTCCTTGATTTACTAAACAGAACACATGATAATATTCAAAGTTGACAGACCGCATCAAAAAAACCGAAGTCCAAGTATTCATGCATAATCATAAGACACCTTCAGAATGCAATACCAAAATTATTTGGTATTGCTATATACATACCTACACCATTACACACAACCCCCAGATTTTAAGAGGCAATCACAGACCTGCTAAAGCCCCAGGCTTTGATTCTCACACAGTAAGCCACTACATGTAACAAGACAAAGGCAAACACAAACCGCCTGTTTCCTTTTTGTAGGTCAGCAAGCAGTAATTAAATGAAAGTCTGCACAACTTTATTGCCAAGGACGACATACGATCCAGTGGAAGTCAGAAATACTTCTGCAGTAAACAAGGCACATGAGTAGAAGACAGCAAACCCAATTCCACTGCGGCTTTGTTCCACGCATAGCCTGTCAATGAGGGCTCTTAACTCACTGTCCTAAATGGTGGATTTCTGACATTCACACCAGGTTTCTTTGCAAAGACACATTATCCTAAAATTTAAGAAGTGTAAACACTACAAATTCAGTGAAGTTTCATAGTTTTTAGCTACTGAAATTTTAATGAACTATACTGCGAAGTAGGAATATTTCTTTTATACAAAGCAAAGAACTCGAAGGCTTTATGACATTTACCAAAAACTCACTCTCCCCTTCTTTCAATAAAACTTAAGGGCAGAAGCGGAAACACACCCAACATTATTTGGTTTTGGATTTCCGCTTGTTAAGGAACAAGGCAACTAGAGTGAACCACGGAAGTGTTTGCAGTCATAATGACCTAGAACTACTTTCTGAAGGTCTATCTTAGCACTAAGATGCAGGTTTCTTACTTTCAGGATACTCGTGAACAATTTTGAAAACAGATTTATTTTAACAGAAGCCAAGTAAGAAACCACCCTCATGAAAAACTTACTTCACGGCACCGCCATTGCCTTCATCATTGTCGGAGGACGAAGATGTAGAAGAGGCAGGAAAATAGGTTGAATCCACATGATTAGGGCTCCCACTCTGAGCTGGATTTATTGGAGAAGATCGTTCATACAATGGTGTATGCTTTCCTTCGTGAGGAATGTTACTGTAGTTGTTCTGCTCAGAAAGACTTTTTCCACCTGTTTCCAAGGTGATGGCTGGCTCAGAGAGACTATATGGGTATGGACCCTGACCTTGGGCCCCCCCCTGATTGGACATCTGCTGGGCCTAAAATAAAGTGAGCTTTCTTGAGTGAAGGTAACAAAAAGGCTTTCCTTTTAAAACAAAGCACATTATTTAATCAAGTGGCATTTTCCAAACGTACACATTAAATCTCAGCCATCTGGGACATCCACAAAAATTGTTCTACCAGAGTCTGTGCCATTACTAATGTTCCAGGCTTCATCACCGAACATCCACGCTGAAAATTCACATCCACCCTTCCCACCTAGACTTTCATTTGATGAGCAGAGCAGGTTTCTCCAAGGAGAAGAGCAGAGGGCTATACTTACCACAGGTTTTGCTTGTAGTGAGGTCTGTGGAATGTTGAGCATCTGAGAAGGAACATATGGTGGCACTATCCCAGGCATACCAAACTGATTCGGTCTGGCTGCTGTATTGCAAACGGTGAGGAGGGGAAAAGAAGAATTAAACCAAAAAACCACCCCCAAAAACCCCAACACTCATGAAAACACTCATTATTTGACACAAATGTTACCCTTTTTATCCTTATGCTTTTATAGTTTATTTAGTATTGTTCTGTTAGCATTATTGTTTTCTAGTATGCCTTTAAGTCAGTTTTATTCATTTTTGCCTTTTAATAAAAATACTTTGTAGCTTGTGAAGTCTATTTTGCTTGTCTCACCTTCTTTCAGTTCTTTGCATCTCTCATTACTGCACATTTCTATTCTACCTGGGAATCAAAGGAAGCTTAAAAAAAGAGTAAGCCCAAGAGATGTCACAACAAAGGAGCCAGCAAAAACAACGTCACACAGACACATAATGCTGGCACTTTCTATCGTTTCAATACCTGACCTAGAGTGGTCTTAACGCCCTTTAATGCAGATCTTTGAATGTAAATAAAGTCACTCCACCCCCTCAAAACAGAGAAGGAAAAATCTGTATTAGTATACCAGTATGGAAACTGAAAATCTTCAGAAAATTTCAGCTTCAATTTATCATAGTTCGGGTTGGAAGGGACCTTGAAGACCATCTGGTTCCAATCCTCCTGCCACTGGCAGGGGACCCTCCCCACAACCCAGGGG